TGCACGCTGTCTTTCCCGCCACCAGAATGGAAGGTAAGGTATAAACGTGATGTTTTATGTCAATGTCGAACATATTGTTGATTGAATGCATGAGTACACCAGGGTTTGGGATACCAAATTAAGTTTAGATAATAGAGTTCATTCTCTCTAGGTTTTTTGCCAATTTATTGTGCAGAATTATGCTTGTAGTTTCGCTGTATACTTATGGTATAAATGAGTGCTATTAAACTTAGAAAGTTTATTGGGAAACCTATTTTGGCACCTGGACCACAAGCACTTAAATTCCAACCAGTTTTGTTAACTAGCAGTAAAGGGTATTCCTTGAAGCACCATTTTGATATTATTGAGGATTAAGGCTATCAAATTGAATTTCATTATAGAGCAGGAGCTCGATTTGATCAGACTTATTTTTGGCTTACAAAACATCTGTCTGAAATTATTAAAAAGAATGGTCCTATTGTATTGTACATTTGGCTAGGTACTTGTGATATCACTACAAAGAGTGGTCCTTTTATTAATTTAAGTCACAATACTGATGAGGAGTGTTTTGTTTATTTGAAATGTTATATTGACAAATTTGTGTCTTATGTTTCAAAATTTGCGTCTGTAAAACTAATATTTTTGGAAATTCCACCTTATTCCATCCAAGTTTGGAACTCCTACAAAGGCCATGTGAATCCTGAGTCATTTGCGAAACAAGATATTATCTTGGATAACAGGATTGAGAGTTTGAACAATTATGTTCGAGAAGTTCATTCCAAGTCCGGTGTAAACTCGCTTAATTTTAGGTGTGATTTGCTCCAGTATAAACGAGCAGGTCGCAAACCTATTATCAACTTCTCTCTCTGTACAAAGATGGCATACATCCAAATCCTGTGTTAGCTAGATGTTGGATGAAGCGACTAGTCACTAAAGCATTGCATGATTGTTGTTAGGAATTATATTTGTAGTATAGCTGCAGGTGGACCATTTTTAAGTCCAGTGAATACACTTGTAGGTAGGGGGCTCCCCAACCACGGTGATTTATTGGATTCCTGCAAGCTTAGTCTATATTTGACTGAGGAATACTGTTGGTGTTAATAGTGTATTAATATCTTGAATTAGTTACTGTTGCTGTATATATATTGTCTTACAAATGAAAACAGAGAGTTGGTGTTATAGATCATTTATATTTAAGATACTAGCTTATGAATTGATAACCTCTTTAAGATATGGCATCCGGGGGAGCACCTGCTAAAGAGCAGGTAGAAGATCAGGTTAAGGAAGAGGGGGAATCGGGGTCGGAGAGTAAGCTCAATATGAGTGAGGACCAGCTGATTGAGGCTTTGGGTAAGCTAGGGAAATACAGGATAATTCCTGTAAATGAGGAGGAGGAACCTCCGGTTCCCAGGGCTGAAAGCACTCCCAAGCGATCATTGAGATTTGTGGGAACTAGCCAGTCTTATCCACCCGATGACCCTAGCCATAATGTAACAAATGTATACAGCAACCCACACCATATCCCTAAGGTGCCCCAGTTTTCCGGGGAGGAGCCACCTTTAAAAGGGGATGTGTCTTATGCTGAGTGGCGGTTTGAGATAAGATGCTTGGGTGAAGATCCTGAGATTTCAAACAGTACCCTGGTG